CACCTAAAACCAATGCCCTGTATTCTCCACTGTTCAAAAGGCTTGTAGACAATCCATTGTCTTCCATTTCAACTAGTTGCATGGTCCACTGTGAAGGAGTGAGAAAAGAGCTGTGTGCTTGTTCTTGACCTGTAAAGATTTCATCATGGAAGATTAATACTGATGCTGCTGCTGCCTGTTACTGGTTGTTTCTCTTTGCAGGTGCCAATATCGGTCATAGAACAGGATTTCAGTGGCAGAGTTGTTGCTATACTGTTATCTCTTCAGAACGGAGGCACAAGGAGAGATGAATGCCACATCGCAAGGAGCAAAGGAGAGAGAGAGAAAGAAATGGTGTCAGGTGGCATGTTGGATGTGATTTTTGTTTTAGTAGAGATTGAGATGACTGCAAATTGTTTAGCTGATTCCTTTGGTCTGCAAAGATACATTTGTGTTGGTGCTGATGATTCTTGACTAATACTGTTTCAGTTACAAATTGGTTATGTTTTTCCAAAAAAACTTCCAGCACTTATATTCAGGACTTATAAATCTCTCTCTCTCTCTCTCTCCCTCCCTCCCTCTCATGCACACACACAACTCAAAACACATACATTAAAGCCAATCCCTACTAACACTATTTAATATTCCATACTGCTAATCAAATATTTTAAGTCTAGAAGATGACAAAACTTGAAGACTAAATAAAGGGCAACACACATCTGCATGCTGTTCACATCACACACTTGAGTAATAGCAGTGGCAAGACACAGTTATTAGTCCTAATAACTTCCAAAATTCTTATTTCCTCATCATTTTGGGATACTATGACGGGTAACTTGTATCATTTAAATACTAGCTACAGAGAGAATCTATTACAAGGATGATGGTTTTTCAGGGATTTTTTTTAAAAAAGTTATTTGTGTTAATTTAGTAATAATCCTAGAAAAGCATATCCATGTAGTTTCCTTCAATTCCAGAATAATGATCTGAACTATACAAACAGCAACCTAGCAGAACTCCTCACATCAAAAAGATAAATTCCCATCTAGAATGTATCAAAGACTGGTATATCAAAACATGATCATCCATAAGAGCTAAAAGGCAAAGAATTTGTTAGTTTCCTTAAATCCACAGATTCCACATGTGGCACAGGTACAGAAAATGGGATAGTTAGTAGCCTTGCCTCAAAGAACCAACTTTTTAAAGACAGAAATTTATTCTCGCTGCAACTACAAGTTTTTAATAAGGGGTAACTGGGTAAGTTTGTACATAATTACTACCAAAGTTATTTTTTAAAAACTGTTTTGGGAATAGTTTGCATAGTCTCCACATATTTTATTATATGGCTCTTCTCTGTTCTATTCTTTTAAATCCTTAAGCTACATAAAAGGCAAGATTATGTTAGAGAGTATAGTTTTTATTAAAAATGTTTTTTTCTGTTGACCTTTAAAAATAAATTTAGAGTGAAAAACAATATACCCGCTAATAAGAAATATTCTAGCTGATATAATAGTCACTAACAATACTCAAGGAAAATAATACGTGAGGGAAAGAGACAAACTTAACTGCTCTCCTTTATCTGCAATGAAAATGAAGCATGTTTCTGAAAAAACAAAAAGCGAACACCGCCACTATTCTAAGACAGATGCAAAGAATGCTAAAAGTGAATTAATTCTTCCGAATACAATGAATCAACTTGCTATCTATGTACAACAGAAGAACTGTAGGAATAAGTGTATAGGTAATGCCACTGAAATGGGAGTGGAAAAAGGTTCATGTTTGGCTTTGCTGGCTACTAGCTTTATTAGTTTTGACAAAACATAGGGAGATCTTGGCATTCAGAAAGTTAACATTAATATTCACTCCAGAATGGTTAAAACTTTGAAGTCCATAAAATGTAATATTATGTAATTCTCCTGAAATGGGAATTTGAATCATGCCTGTGATCAGAGTATGGAAATATATCAATCACTTAGTGAATGAGTAAGCATTGAGTTCATAAACAGAATAACTGAAAATATTAAAGAATTCTTGATATATTAAAAAAAATGATGCTGCACAGTGATTTTCCTAATCTCAGAAGAGAAAACTAAGGGCTTATTGCCCTTAAGCCCCAGAAACCTCTATTTATGTTAGCCACGGACTTACTTTTGGAGGCTTTTGCTTAACTTTCATTCCTTACTCTATCACACTAATAGCTCTGGATTTATTGTATTTCTAACCCTGCAGAATAGTGCAGAATGTGAACTGAGCTTTATGATTTATTCAATGGTAAATATATTTTTTCATATTTCAGTTTACCTATTCAATTATTATGATGATCTTTATAAAATACAAAGCACATCATAAATTATTCATTTGAAGAAAAAGTAAATAGGCCTTCTAGTCTCATATGTCCAAACAGCGTGGGCTTCCTCAATGAAACAAGTTTTCTCTTTTGGTGCCCACAAATTTAATCTAATAATTCTACTGAACTTTAAGAGTGTTTATTAAAGACAGAGAGAGAGAGAGAGCAAGAGTATGCTGGGCTCCAAATCTAAACCCTAAGCTGACACAGTACAGGTTAATTCCTGTGCAGGTACAAGGACCTCAAATACTCCTGTCTCAGAATCAGTCTATGGTAGAACTATATAGTTACAAGCTGGGTACAGTTCATGTCAGCTTAATAAACCCGGGAGCACAGGGAGCTGATAAGATAGAGGTGATAACAGCTTTTCTCTTAACTGAAGCTTGTTCTCTATGTTGTTAAAAGTATCCAATCTACTTTTTTAGAAAACAGAATGACCTATTTTAATGGCCTATTTTCCAAGTGTGCTTTAGAATGCCAAATAACGTATTTTTAGAACATGTGACTTAATGCTTATTACTTAATTTTGCCACTCAAAAATTAATATCCAGTGGTAAGCAGACAACTGCTATTTGTGCTCTAAGATGACACCACTTAACTCAATTTTGTTCCCTGCATGTACTACCAACAACTTTCTTTATGATGCATTCATTCTTCTCACCCAAAATAGCCTCTTAGAGGAAAATGTGAGAACTCAAGACATGACAGCATATTTCAGCGTTAGTAGTTTATCCACTCTCCCAAAATATTCCATGATGTTGGTCAAAGAAAAGTAATATTGTAAACTGGTTAAGAAGATAAAGTTAGAAATCTAGAGCTGCTCAGTAAATCTTGATAAAAGCTGGAAAAAATAAAACAGGGAAAAGATTATGGCGGGGACAGTTATTAGAAAGAATGAGTAAATACAAAAAATGGAGAAGTCAAACAGGGAAAGAGGCTAATATGGAAGTTAGAAGTCAAAGTGTAGTGTTCTACAACAGCTTACAACTGTTTATATAGTATCTAGACATTTAAGTATACCTCACTTTAGAACACTTACAAAGAAGTGTTTCAGAGAAACAGTATTTTCAAAGTACCAGGAAAGCTTTAAAATCAACCAAGCACAACCAACTAAAACCAAAAGCAAACCCTTCTCTGAAGCTTTTCAAAAAGTGAAGTATTTTTTGTAATACAAATCACCAATTCCTAATTTAACTGCTTTATAATTTCAGATTTTATATAACAGGTTTTCATAAAATACGATACACATACATAAGATCTCATCACTAAAAAGAGTAATTCAAAATTAACTATTATATGTGAAAATAATAACCCTCAAAGTATCCCATTATCATGAAACACTGGTTAGAAAATAATTTATAAATCTTTACAGGGGACATCAAACATAGGTCTAGAGGAGTTCATTATCAAAATAGCTTAGGTGGACACACAAATACCGATAGTAATTCTGTACTACAAAATCCTTCAAGAGTCCCATTACAACTCCATCTGTTACACAGGATAGACTGAAGTTGTCTACTGTATCTCAAAGAACAGGAAAAATGGTAATTTTAACAAAACAAAATACACCTTAAAAAAAAAAGAACAGAATAAATTATGTTAGAATTTAGTGTTAAAAGTAGTTTGGGGTTGAAACTTTTCTGAGCAGGGGCATAGACAGATATGACACAGTTAAAAAACACTAATGCAAATTACGTGTGTGTGTGTGTGTGTGTGTGTGTGTGTGTGTGTGTGTGTGTATTTATCCCTGTAACTGAATGGCAGGGGTCTGAAGAACCTTGATAGTATTCCAAAAAACAAAACAGTACACAGTATGATAGCAGCTGTTACCAGAATGGGCTTTTCTATCCTACCCCACCCCACCCCAAGAAGACAACTTCACTGAAGCTATCTTTGATTAGTTCACTATCTCAATTTTAGCGATTATTCAGCCTATTAAAAAAGTATGTAAGTAATGTGACAAAAAGCAGAATAAAAAATTGGGCCAAAGAAAAAGAATTTTACATCTGTCAGGAACTTCATTTTGAGTGGGAAAATCTACTCTATTATTATTAATTTGAAATGGTTTGAACTAAAAATATGAACTGTAAAAACAATGAACTGATTACAATTTCATAGTTTACAAATCAGTACAAAGCTATACATTATAAAAATTGACTGTAACAACACATAGCAACATTCTGATAAACTATATCACTTCATACTATTACTGATGATTAGGCTCTCCTAAATTTGCCAATGTACATATATTAATTGAAACATTTAATCAAGCATTTGATAGCTTAAAAGTTAAGCCAAAGAAACAAGTTTGTTATTAATTTATCCTTATTTCAGTTTATTATAAATGGATACAAACAATATGGAAATTTACATTTCATCTTAAAAATGAAGCATTTTTACAAAAACAGTATTTAAACAGAGTAATCCTAAGACCCTGATTGTCTGGCCAGGAGTCACTTCTCCACTATAGGGACATGGTATTATCAGCATCTCAATGTTTGTACGCTGCCACAAGGTAAAGGAATGTTATTTTAATATATTCAACTTAAAAATACCCATCTTTTTTGGTCTAAACTCTGGGTACTTTCTCTCTTAAGATGACTTTTCCAAGAAGAGACTTATCTCTTCACAACCTCTGGTAACAAACTAAAAATTGAGCATATGCTTCACATACCTTTTTGAGATGTCCTAGTCTAAGTTTGAAAATTTCTTCCTGTTCATGATATTCTGCCAAAGTCAACCTGTCAAAAATGAGATGTAATTCTAGATATTAAGATTAAGTTATTATTTCTTATTAACCACAAAAGAAGATAAATAAGTAGAAATACTACAATGTTGACATTTATCCCAAAATAAGCCAAAAGTCCTTTACAATATTCTTCAGAATATAACTAATACTTACAGATGGAACAACTAATTCATAAATTCAGCAACTATTTAATGAGTGCTATGTATCAAGTGATGTCCCAGAATTTCAATACTCAGGGTACAATGAAAAAGACATTTTCTCTTTTCATTTTAGTTCGAACTTACACTCTATACTCCCCACTAAGGAGGCAGAAAAGAAACAATTTAATAAAGAAGTAAAATAATCCCAAATAACAGTAAGTGTTATGAAGAAAACAAAAACGCGTGGCATGATAATGACATTGTATTACAGTAATTTGTACTGAGTGTTAGAGAGGTGGTCTTGATCTAAACATCAAAAAGACAACTACAAGAGAACCTGGGCGAGTTATGTTCTAGACACAAGCTACAGCAAGTGCAAGGATGCTACGAAGGACTCATGCTGGCATACTGTAAGAAGAGAAAAAAATGTCAGCATCAAAACAGCCAGAGAGGCTCTGAGCAGTAGGACAGGCAAGCAGGGGCCAGCTTATGTGTGGACTTCCAGACCAAGGAATTAATTTCATTTTACTCTAAGAGTACTAGAAAAGTACTGCAAAGAGAATCCATCCAGTTGGGTACTGGTTTAAAAAAAAAAAAAAAAAAAAGGAAAAATACTAGGAAGTTTTTTTTTCTGCTTTCATGTGTTAGTGAGGAAAAGGAATGCTAAAACTATAGTCAACGCACCAAATTCTTAATATAAATAGACATAAGCCTTTCAATCTTGAAAGTACTTTACGGTTATTTTATTTTTCTCAAATATTCATATATAACTTTGAAATATAACTAGCTTAATATATGTAGAACCATAATAAGACATAAACACTTAATAACATTTCCTGAGAAAAAATTGTTTTCTGATAAAATAAAAGAAGAAAACCACTCCACAATAAAACAACTTCCATTTCATACCCCAATACTGAAAGAACTGCTTTTATCAAGGCTGTTTGTTTACTCATGTGTTCTAGGAGTATCTGGAAAAGCTCCTAACCAGGTAAGATTTATTTGTTTATTCAGGTCCCTCAGCAACATTTAGTATAAATGTTATTCTCCTTTAGCTAGATATTAGTTAAATTTACTAATTCTAAAGAAAGGGTATTGAAAGGAAACAAACAAAAACCTCCAAGAAATTCAGTTAGTATTCCACTAGAAACATCTTAAGAGTGAAACGTTTAAAATTAAACCTGTCTACCCAGTCTTAAGTTAATACAACTGCTGGATTTTATTATACTAAATATAGCAACAGTGGATAGTTGCAGCAGATGCTTCAAGTAAACTTAGAGAAGTGTTACAGTGTGACTGCAGATGGAGTGAAAGGAAAAGGGAAAGGTGATCTTAAAAGGTCTGGAAACAAAAACGGATAAAATCTCAACTAATCCAATAAACAAAAGCTATAGGAATTTTTGGCAATAGCTTCTGGATAGGCATATATATCACCAAGGAAAATTTGGTACAATTTGAGTTTCCCAAAATTTTTGAAATTGCATTCTACTAAGAAGTCTGGCTCTCATGCAAACTTGCAAAGCCCTTACATATGCAGATAGCTGGGAATTTCTGTAATTTGGAGGTAAGCATATTTTGTTGTTTAGTTGGTGTAGTTTTCAATAGCAACTATTCTTGTGAGTTAAAAATGAATTAGTATCTATTAGTTTCATGATGATTTAGTTTGTTGAATATTGTTTGGTTAATCTTATAGCATAATGTAATGCATATTTGCTACTTAATAGCACTTAGTTCCAGTTGTTAATATGTTTTATGTTATGGTTCAAATCATCCACATCCCTATAGCTAAAGCAAAGGCATACAGATACTCCTTCCCCAAATTTTCTTAGTAGAGTGATACTTCTTTACTGATTTAAAAAACTTTAACCACCCCCCAAAAAGCAAAACTTTAATCATAGAGAATTATTTCATAGATCTACTACTCCTGATATTAAACACATACTATTCTCACTAAAGATTAATGGTAACTTTCATCAGCAGCAGAACTTAACTATTTACTTCCTGCATTTTGATTACTACTACTATAACTATTAAGCTTTAAATAAACAGTAAAAATATATATATTGATCACTTTCTGCTTGGTTTTGAAGCATTAATAAGCAAATTCTGCAGGAAGTACTAAATACTATGCTACTCAATTTCTAGGGCAGTGATTCTTACTATTTTATGATCGTGGATACCTAAAAATAATCTAAAGGAATTTATAATAAACACTCTCCAGAAAATTTCACATATACATAAATTTGGGGGTTCACAGCTCTCCGTTTAAGAATTCCTATCCCAGGTTCTTGTCTCACCAATAGAATGCAAACCTCAAAACAGCAAAAGAGACATTTCTTACATTTCTCTGCATTTCCCTATCAGGAAGTATCTGACATATATTAGAGATTTTAAGATATCTCTATTGTCTATTTCCATCAATGAAGTGTTTTTACATAAAATGTAAAATATTTGAAAATGAAAAAAAAAATTTAGATCAAATTAACTGAGGACAGGCCTCTTAAAAAATGAAAAGAGGGGGGCGCCTGAGTGGCTGTCGTTAAGCATCTGCTTCGGCTCAGGTCATGATCCCAGGGTCCTGGGATCGAGCCCCGCATCGGGCTCTCTGCTCAGCAGGGGAGTCTGCTTCTTTCTCCCACTCCCCCTGCTTCTGTTCCCTCTCTTGCTGTGTTTCTGTCAAATAAATAAATAAATAAATAAATAAAATCTTTAAAAAAGATAATTAAAAGAGGGACGCCTGGATGGCTCAAGTCAGTTAAGCATTTGCCTTCGGCTCAGGTCATGATCCCAGGGTCCTGGGATAGAGTCCCACCAGCAGGCTCCTTTCCCAGCAGGGAGCCTGCTCTCCTGCCTGGCGCTCCCCCTGCTTGTGCATTCGTGCTCGCTCTCTGACAAATAAATAAATAAAATCTTAAAAAAAAAAAAGACTGAAAAGAGCAAGGTAGGATAATGTTAATTTTAATGGCATTCAATTGCTACATAATTACTTTTATGATGTGTTTTTAAGACCCTAAAAAAATTCACACTGTTAAGCAAGTCTCAGTTGGTTAGGTTACTTAGCAAATCTTTTGTTCACAGATAATGTGAAGGTCAAGTCTAATTCCTCCCTATATGAATCATACCTGATATTATAGCCTGAATGATTAATATTTTATTGTGTTCAAATATACATATGTGTGCTTATTTAAGGGCATACTAAAGCTACTAAAGTAGGTTTATATAAAACTTTAAAGATTTTATTTATTTGACAGAGAGAAATAGTCAGAGAGTACAAGCAGGTGGAGGAGCAGAGGGAGAGGGAGAAGCAGGCTCCCAGCTGAGCAGGGAGCCCAATGCGGGGCTCAATCCTAGGACCCTGGAATCCTGGGATCCTGACCTGAGCCGAAGGCAGGAGCTTAACCGACTGAGCCACCCAGGCACCCCTATAAAACTTTGTTTTAAAAGCCAAGAAATTTAAACCTCAAACATAAGACTTATTATTAACTCTTGATAATCTTCCATAATGAGTCTGAATGGATGATAATTTTATTTTTAATCCAAAGAACTGTTTTACAATAGTTTGACAGAAATGTGAGATGACTGTAACAGAACTAGTACAAATAACAGAAAACAGGGAATACTCACTTCAAACAAATCTGATAATCCTTTAAAGACATTCTGTTTAAGAAGGAAATTAACCTGGTTGCAAAGCTAAGGAATGCAATCTATGGTAAATAAGACTATTACAGGCACTTAAGAAAAAAAATGGCAAGCCCATTTATTTGTACAATTTAGCAGACCTTTACTGAACATTAAGCTATGAGCTATGCATTGAGGATTACATTTTTTTACATGAGGGAGGATGGGACATGAGACTAGTCTGCCTTTGAAAAGCCCCCAAAAAACTAGGAATAGAAGTTCCTCAACATGATATAGGGCATTTATTAAAAACCCACAAATGACATCATACTCAAAGGTGAAGGAATGAAAGCTTTCCCCTTAATAAGACAATGATGCTTTCACCATTACTATTCAATATTGTGCTGGAAGTCCTACCAGAGGGGTTAAGAAAAAGAAACATAACATCATGCATCAGAATGAGAAAAGAAGTAAAACTATCTCTATTTGCAGATGACATAACCCTAGATGTAAAAATCCCAAATAATGAAGAAAAAACTACCACCAGAGCTAATACATCAGCAAAGTGCAGGGTACAAAATCAACCCACAAAAATCAATTGTGTTTCTATACACCAGCAATGAACAACCTAAAAAAGATATTAAGAATACTATTCCATTTATAATAGAATCCAAAAGAATAAAATACCTACAAATAAATTTAACCCAGGAAGTGACTTGTACACTAAAAACTACAAAACAGTGCTAAGGAAGTTAATCGAAACTAATTAAATGAAAAGACTTCTAAGTTCATGGATTAGGAGCCTTAATGTTGTTAAGAGGGCAATCCTCTCCAAAGTCATCCATATAGTCAATATAATCCTAATCAAAATACAAATGGCCCATTTTGCTAAAATGGGGGAAAAATTGCAAAACAATATTGAAAAAGAAAAAACAAAGTTATAGGACTCTCACTACTTATTTCAAAACTTACTACAAAGTTATGGTCATTAAAACAGTTACTACCATAAAGATAGACATACAGGCCAAAGGAACAGAAGGGAGTACAGATATCCATGGCCAGTTGATTTCTGACAAGGTGCCAAGACAATTCACAATGGGGAAAAGAATAGTCTCTTCAACAAACAGTGCTGGGACAAATGGATAACCACATGCAAAAGAATGAAGTTGGACCCCTACCTCACTCTATATAAAAAATTAACAAAAAAGGGATCAATAATCTAAATATAAGAACT